GTGCCTCGGCGCACGAAAAGGGAAGAATCGCGTCCAATTCTCTCTTACTACCGTGCCTGCCAANCCTGCCAGATTGACGCCAAGTTTAAAGGAATGCCCGCCCGACGGTGGCTTGCCTCCTAGATGTAGTAGATGTAGATTCTGCCGTAGACACTCTTGTCCACGAGCACGTTGAGATGGGAAGGTTGCTTGTTATTGCAGAAGCGGGTCTGCTACAGGTCTGAGGTGAGGCGGATTGCCCTCAACCTGGGGGCACGCAGATAGCTAAGTCCCGATGGGGTACGTCGTAAGAGGGTATACCTCCTGACGTCCCCCATCTTAATCTAGACCGACTGTGTACCCTATCTGTGCCATACAGCAACACTCCTTAACATCGTTGTGTTATATTAAGAAAAATAAAAATAAAAAGGACCCACCTAAAACAGTTTTTTTGCGAAAAAAAACTACGCTATCGCTCCGGTTTTTTTTTCGCACGCGCGCTTCGCGCGCGGAAAAAACTCCTAAAAAAAAACTCGCTTCGCCAAGCCTCGCCGTAGACTTTGCATCATAGTCTAGATAGATGGGACAGCGAATTGTTCGTGTACGTACGAATCATTCTTAAATGATATGGTATGGGTGTGTGCGTGCGTCCCTTGGCCTCCAAGCGCCGGGGTGAGATTATTTCTATGCATATCCATCTATTCATGCACGGTAGAGTAGAGCACCAGCAGACTACCATGAGACTTGACAGTGAATATATTTAACCTTGTTTAAAGGGGCTGCCGCCGCCGCCGTAAAATGGTGCTGAGCCATGTGGTGAGCGGCGCCCTGGGTCTCGGGGACATTAAACCCTTCTTCTCTGTTGTTTGTTGTTGTCTTCGGCCACGACCAGCAACAGAGGGAGGTATCCACAACGAAGGTTCACATATGCAGTTCTTTTATAACTACATACAGACAGCTAAAGGACAGAGAGACATCTCTTTGAGATATGTACGAACATGTAGATAGATACAGATAGTCTATAGTCTAGTCTAAATTCAAAATGACTCTGGAGACGCCACATGCACCGATGCCGTAGAGATAATCCTTGCACACAACAAATGGACTTGCAACTCTCAAGCAACTTTGAAGGCATCATTTGCGTAAAAATGCATTATCCCTCGCGCAGCGAGAGGGGAAGAACGGCTACCCACTCAAAACCATAATGTTTGCCTACAACATCAAAAACAAAAGCAGGTAGGCTATACTGGAGCATTCCCTTCAAATCCCGCGATGTCCTGTCCGTGTATACTAAACCATTACATCATCCATACCAAAGCAGCACATCAACGGTCGGCCATTGAGACATCAACGCCACCGTAAAAGGACGGTGTGCGAACTTCTGCCCAAGGAGGAAGTCCGATACACGATCATCGCAGCAGAGGAACCAACCGACCCCAGTAGGCCATAAAGCCTAAAACGTTTGTCCCTCGTACATGTCTACGCCGAATCGCTTGCATCAGAAAAAATCAGCACGACACAGACAGCATTTAACGGCACCCGTCACGGCGCATGGTCTTCGCCTAGACGAAGAGAACCAACCCTGCGCTGCCGCTGTCGCTCTCCTCTGCTCTGCGACTGCTACTCCCATACTCTTATCCATGCATTAATGCAAACGAAGAAAACAAACAAAAAAGCTATATTCAGACGGAACAGGGCTAGGGAAAGCAAAAAAAAAACATCGCAGCACCTGCACTCATCACCAGGTCACTGCAACGCGTGAGACACAAGAAGAATCTTCGGTGCATCTCGCATTTGCTCGAGCCGATTGCTCAAAATTATGCAATGTATCGGGCAAGTTCTGCATGGCCAACGACATCCTCAACCCTCAAATAGAACAGGCCTGCTGCTGTATACAGAAGTACTACTGCAGCAAGGGCCGTAGAGCTAAAATTTACTCCGCTGTGAAACCTTTAGTCTATCCACCATCGAAAGGTCGACGCAACTACTCTCGACTACGCATATGAGACGTCGCCAAGAAGCAGTCTAGCCCAAAAGCAGCCGAGCCCGATGAGATAAACTAGGAAGAGTTATAGGCGACACTGAACTCGTTCAAACAGGCGGTTTACCTAGGCCAATGGAAAAACAAAGACGAAAAAAACTCTCCGTTGTATGTTACGACCGTGGCGCACGCCATGCAAATGCTGTGCGTCCGACGTGGTAAGACCATTGCGACCCCCGTGCTTGAAATTGAACATCGTTGGAGGGCCTCCTCCTATCAACACCAACACCAGGCCGTGCTCGAAACAATACGCTGACCAATCGAAGTCTGGACGAGACCCACGAGGCCGCCTTCGAAACAAGCTGCAGATAACAATCATCAGCTGGAAATACAGCGCAAACTTCACTTACAAACGTCGAAGCTTTTGAACCCCCAAAAACTACGATAGCTACCACGGGGTTTCCCCCCATTCCACAGACGCATCCAACAGAAAACGTACAGCTTGGTCGCCCTACAGACTTCTTGACGACTGAGACTAAAAATGCGCCTATCTATTGCCCGTCAAATTAACCACTGCATTGACTCTAGAGTCGAGCACCGTATGCGGTTGCTTGCCATTGACGAGTTCAACCTGTGAAGTCCGCCAGGAGTGTTGGACACATGACGGCAAAAACGGCAGCAGACCTTCACTCGTGCCCATGAGAACTGCGAGGGGAATCCAAGAAACTTCCACGGACTTTCCTTGGAGCGACATAAAGAGGTATCTCCCAAACAGCACCCAACATCACAACATGAAACGGCTGTGACACGTGTACTTTCTATCCCAACACGACGTTGACAGCAAGTAATACAACGAATGACCGGTACCAGCGTAATGGTAACCCAGCCAGCGCTAGCATGTCGTATCTATAGCCTCCCGCATGAACAACATACACGAAAGAGAATGTACTCCAAGATGAACTCAACTGGGAGGCAAAGTCGGCGTCCATGTAACCTTCGGGGGATGGAATAAGCAATCATTCGGTGTGGGGCAGCCAGAAAGATGTAGATGCCAACAACGTTCGACCCTTAACCAACTGTCCGTTGCTCAAATAAATCGCTCCCTCTATTGTAGAAGTATGTCAGAGGCTGCCGGAAAATGATAAGACATACCGCCGTCGCGTCCTTCGTAACTCAATGCTATCAAGAGTTGAATCACGTTAATCATGAGAACGTCACGATTGCCATCTGATGGACCATGCAAAACATCAAAAGCAAGGCGAGCAGGGATTCTATTCGTCACACCGAAAAGTGCCCAGCGAGTTGTCAAATATCATGTAAGCTAGGATTAACTGATGACAGCCACATGAATCGATTGCCAAACAGAGCCTTGACGACGCACGGTTCCATCCCTGAGTGACTCGCTGAAAATATTACCGCTTGTAGTTTCAATGACAGCTTGTTTGGAACTGGCAGCTACAACAAATAAGCTTCCGGCAGAGAGGGGTGTTCCAGCTAGCCGCGACTGTCGCAAAAAAAAAAAAAAAAGTGCATAGGGGTCAAATAAAAATAGGCTCCCCCGTCTAAGCAGCCTGGACGCGTGGAAGACTAACGACCAGGATTCCTCAGGGTTTAGGCGGACGCCCCTTGGCTGAAGTGGGCACGTCGGATGCTGCGGCAGATGCGGTTGGGGTTGGAGGCTTGGCACCGGGGATCGGGAACTGCTGGGTTGGGTATTGATCCTGTGAAGCGTACAACAACAACGGACAAGATCATCCAGCGAATGACGGCATGTATTTCTGTACCATATGCTGAAGTCTAGAGACCAAGGTAGGCTTCGTGCCATGGAAGCCAACAACAATAAGCACGTAGATACCTTGGTTGTAACCGGCGTCACATGTGCCAGAGGCCTCAATTATATCTATGTACCAGAAAAGGGTGATGGGTGTGTCGGGATCTCAGATAGGCCACGGAGAGCATGACATGAGATCGAAACAGAGGAAGGACCATGCCCGACCTGAATAGGTGGCAAAATGTGTAACAACAAGCGATTGTTCTTGAGAGGTGAAAAGGAATCACGTATTTAACACAAACAAAACAAACAACACAAACAACAAACATCACCTGCGGGGGGGTCATGGTGACGTACCAACCCCACTGAGGAGACCAGGTACCCGGACTGGTCCCGGCCGTCGGCGTCCCCGTACCGCCACCGCTACCCGCTACGACACCGGTGTCACCAGCAGCCGCTCCTCCTCCTTGTCCTCCTCGACACCCGCTCCCTGTGGTAACGGAATAAGATGAAAAATGAAGGTCAATTCTGCTGGCTAACGACGTAAGTGTTCGTGAAGGAACGGTCAAGGGGGGGGACGTGCCACAGCAGGGAAAGAAAGCACCTACAGGGGGCCGTGCGGGTTCGGAAGCTTGGTGTACCACACCTTTCCGCTCGCACACCACTATTGTATCCATGCACTCACACACCGCCGTAGCTTCGATATCATTATCAGCACCGCACGCGTTGGTAGCAACTGTATCCCCGACAAAACAGGTGCTCATGCGATACGTGTCCTTGGATCCAGACGGGACCCTCCGGACTTCGGTAAGGTCACATGTGTCTATGTCAAACACGGTGCACGAGCCCGTCTCGTGGCAAGTATCGAATTCTCGGTCCGTTTTATGACGGGAAGCCTGTGTCACCGATGTTTGAATCTGTCGCACATTAATGTAGTTTTGCACACGTTCCTGCCTCTCTGCGGTGTATCCAAAAAATGGTGTCCCTCGAAAGATGACCCGATGATTGCAACGGGTTGGATAACCCTCGTAAGGTTAGGGTTGGATTACCCTAGTAAAACGGACCGATAATTTGTGCAACGTTCAATCCGTCAAGTACGTTGCATAGAAAGAAACAAACACAAGGACGAGTGACGGATGGCTCGTGCATCCCCTCGGCATTTGGTAAACACTCGGAAAAGCAGACATACAACGGAATTGTGTAGGTGTACCTTCGCTCTGCTCGTGCTTGGCCGGTTCTCCGCCAAGTGAGGAAGCTGCAGCTCCACCACCGCTCCCTCCCCCTGCTATGCTGACACGCACGCTTCTGTCCTCCATCTTCTCCTGCGAGGGCGAATCAAGGACTCGCGTTGGCGGGATCTCCAGTTAATGTCTGGAATATCAAACGCAACAACGCGGACTTGCGACCAGTGCAATCAACCTCGGTTGCGACAAACTTTGGCGGATATTAACTCAAGCTAGTAGACCCACACAGAAAGTTGTGAGGCAATCGAAACTCCGCCATTCATCCGCCTTGTTCAAACCTGCACGTCTCCGTAGAATGTATCGCGGTGGACCAGCGCAGCACACCCGCCATCCAGCCCTTCCAAGTCGTCGTCTTCGGCGAGCTGGAGAGCGCTGTGGAACACCTCACCATCTTGATCCTGCCCCATGAATAGCCCAGGATGTTCGGAACCCTTCTCCGGCTGTTTGGGGGTGTTAGGATCGGGCGATGCTGCCGCTGCCGAACTCCCTCCAACTTTCGAACGGCACGATTGCACGATACGACTGTCGGCTCTGGATCCTGTCGATCCTTCTCCTTCCTCTCCTGCTGCTGCTGCTGCTGCTGCTGCTGCTGATTCTGCGGATGTTGACACGTCCGTGTCGCCAGGTGGAACGCTGGAGCTTTCCGACACCATCCGGCTTCGCTCATCCTAAGGCAATATTAATGCACGCAATTGCACCACGAGACGCCTTCAGGCTATCCACTACCCTCCAAAGAGTAAGCGGAAAGAAAACACGAATACATTGCTGGCCCACCCTTGCCCGAGAAGTACTCTTGTAAGGCCAAGTTGTGTTGATGTGCCCACCTCGTAGTATTCTGCGAGGCAGCCGCCCTGGTAGTCGTCGCTCCAGCTTAGGCGGCCCTTGGAATGCCGTCGCCAAAAACCTGGAGGCACGGGTCGCCCATTCTGAAACCATCGAGCGACGTTCAGGCAAGATGCGCAAGTCAAGAAAATCGCCACAAAAGCACCACGGGAAACGCTGCCCATAAGCTGGACAACGGACAACAGCAGCATGCAGAAGTGTGTTATCGTTAGCCAGAGCTTGCGAAAGCTGCTCGCATGTGCCCTGCGCCAAGCCCTGCGTAAGTGCGTCTGCCCCACGGTCGTTCTGAAACTGTTAGGCCACGACCACAGATTCAACGCTAGGCCCCAACCCTCCTCGACAACTGGTATTGTAGGAAGGAGTGAGAGGAAAAACAACGTCCTTCCCCATCACGTGAATCGAATTTCGAGGTACTGCCTGGACAAAAAGAGTGAAGCACACAAGCACGACCATTGCCATGGCCAAGGTACTTTCACGAAGGCGCTGAAAAGGCTTGTCGTGACCTGTACTGCATGAGCCTTTTCCTGTCCAAATCATCATACCGAACCAGAGCTATGCAGCCATGAATGCCTGAGTACCCCTGTATTCCTTAGGGAAAACAATGGTCAAGGAAAATCCCAGTGCCCGCTTGGTCCCTTCGGAGACTCTAGCTCATCATCATCTTCACACATGCCGCACCCTACATCCTACACCCTACCTCGAAATCGCCAGAAGACCCTCTCAACAGCCCTCCGGCCATGTCTAGATCCATGCTGTCAACATCACCCGCATTCGAATCGCCATCACTGTTGCCTGACGAAAACTGGTGCCCTAAACCTTCCGAGTAGAGCATCAAACAGCGAGAACGGTGACATGGGGAGGGGCGCGGGATTGTCGGAGCCCAGAGGAACAATACAGCAGCGATCACGAGAACATGCTGAGTGTATAAGGCAGCAAAAAGGAGGGCATACATGATTCCAGGGCATATCGCAAAAACCAGAGGAGTATCACATCGTTCCAGTCCTGAACATCAAAGAGTGATGTCATGTCACAGAGTGCACCTTTTCGTCGGCCATGGCTTTCTTTGGGTGTTGACTGTCCTTCAGCTGCCGTAGCGTCAGCTGCAGCAGCATCTTTTGACTTGTCCGGACCGGGGTCGAGAACCTGGAGATGGTTTCGAGTATACACGCTTGTGGGTACCGATCGTTGTCTTCAAGGACTGGCTAATCGCCGAACAACATCGTTCAGCTATCGTTCGCAATCATTGGGCTAACCCAAGGCAACGGGATGATTTCGAATGGAGCAGAAGGGTTGCTATGCTACCGGCTAGGCCACGACAAACAGCACAAGCGGGGGACGTGGAAATAATGAGGCAAGGGTCCGATCAGCTGAGGTTGCGAATACGGTCAAGTACACGAGGTTGGTCAGAAACGTGTCGCCGCTTTGTAGATACCCTTGTCGCTGTATGGCTTTTTGGTCGACGTACGCGGAGGGTGGGTATCCTGCCCCTGCTCGACTGCTAGCTAGCGTTCTTAGATCGAAAGTGAAACAGGTATCCGTCACCCCAAACACTTGTGCCTAAAAGCCTGCAGAGTGTTGACGTCCTAATTTTGTTTCTCATGATGACGTCACCTTTCCGCACATCCAGATCACCGCTGCAAGCACCGGGTGCTTCTGTACCCAAATCAGACCTGATGTTTGTCGCCATGGTCACACGGACGGAAAGGAGAAAGGGAAACGGACAAAAACACAAGGGTCATTTTGATGGCTTTCCGTCAAAGTCAACCAACCCCTAACCGTTGACAAAATACACCCCTTTGCAATGCTACTGTTCTTAGACGCAAACGAGTGCGGCCTTCCCCGACTGTCAGGGGTCTGTTGGCGTGCTGTCTTCTAAACTTCGGAAAAACAAAATTCACCTTCAAAACATGTATCGAATGATGAAGGACATGTGACTGTCGGTCGCGGCGATCAGGCTAGCTTGTGGCATTGAGTGATGAGAACGCCGCAGGAACCGACAACGATCTGCCGCCGTCCAAATCAAACAACGGGCGACAACAGAAAACTGCAAACGCAAACAGGGCCGCTGGAGGAAACTATCAGCCTGAGCAGATCGAAACAGAAAAAAGAACTCTTCAGGCAGCTGACAAGCACGGCCTGCTGCAATTGGCATGAGGGCATCCTCCTCCTTACCCTCACTCTGATTGCACGACTCCCAACCCCATCTCTCCACACGATACACCTTCGTGACAAGGAGGCGGCCAATGGCACCGACACTCCCAACACACATCCGCCCTAAACAAGCCTCCATATCCATGACAAGCACTTTTTTCCCGGCTGACATGAACATGCAAAATAACATACCGTCAGCGATTTGTGCCACGCGACCGTTCTGCTTCCGGCGCTCCTCCCCGTCCTCCCCAAGCCCTTCTTCCTTCGCAGTTGCCTCCCATTCTCGCCCACGATCGACAACCCGACTGGCTCTCCGCCTGCCAGCACCGCCACCACCTCCATGTCGGCCCTCTCTCTCTGTCGACCTTTCTGCTCCGCCTCCTCCTCCTCCTCCTCCTCCTCCTCCTCCTTGCAATGACCGAATCACGCACGCACCACTCTTCGCCGTCGATGATGATCCCGAACGTTCCGCGGCCCCGAGTTGATGTGAGGGTCTCCTCGTGCCGCAACGTTCCCCGTACCGGTCTCCAGCCCCATAACCCGCATTCCTGGTGATGCTCGTCCTGGCCGCGTGCTGCTGGTGCTGTCGACGAAAGGCGTTGGTGCCCTTGTAACGGTCACCTAGGGAATCAGCGCGGTCCTCCCTTTGCCGCGAGAAAATTCCCGACGAATGTCCCGCCAAGAGTCCGCTGACAGACGGCCTCAACGATCCCGGCCTTGTACCGGGGGCGGCAGCATCAGCACCGGCGCCAGCACCAGCACCGGTAGTGGCATACATGGACGTTGGTGGCGTTAGAGGCGACTCGCAGGGGAAGGGACTAGAGCGCTGCATCCCCGGGTGGACTAGCGTCCCTTCTTCTCCCTGTGCTGCTGCTGCGACGCCTCCGCGCTCTTCACTGCCGCCGGACTCCTGGTCTTGATGAAGGCTCCCCTCGGCGCCATGGGAACACCCCCCGCTCTCCTTATCTGTGCCCTCCATGGATCCAGCCAGCAATGCACCCTCCGGACGAGATGCTGGTTGCCCTTGCAAGTTTTCTACCGCTGAGAGCATTGTCGCCATGACGCCAGAAAAGCAAGCCCTGCCCCTACCAGCAGCCGGGTGTACCGGGGGTAGCGACAGGGCCACCAAGCTGTTTCGTTCGTTATCTCCGTCGCGTGGCTGAAAAGGTCCAAAACATGGAAGATTATTTTCACATGGGGGGCGCAGGTTTCAGGGCCGTGGGCGAGCAGGGGATCGTCGAAGGGGTGCGGTAATGGGCGTATGCCTGCGTATGTGTCTTGTGCTTTGGACAATTTCACACTTGGTCAACGCGGTGACGCGTTCATAGACCACACACCACAAGATGCAACAAATCGATCACCACAACCAACATACAATCAACACGGCGACCGGATAAATACCCACACAAGACAAGGCCTCGACTCAAGTGTTTCAGTACGAGAGCAGGTGTATGGCGTACCGTAGGCACAAAGTTTGCATAACTTTGGTTACGAGTAGTCCAGCAGTTTACTATTTGATTCATTTATGTTGCGTAGACACGGCCTTGAGATTGCTATTGATGAGGTCAGTTTATCCTACTGGTCTGTGCACAACACTTTCCTCCGGGTCTGCCGTACGGGCTCCTTACGGAAGTCGCCGCTAGCAGCATGCTCGCCACACTCAAGTTTGGAGCATCTTGACGGAGGGCTCATGGACTGATGGGTTGGGGGAGTCTGTTGCTTGTACCCTAGGAACATCGGTCTGCTTCGGACGAGAGGTGTGTGTAGACACGCGCAAGCACCACTCCATGACATCGCCCGTTTGGCATATTTGTAGGCCATCATGCCACGTCCATTTCCGCCTTTCACCCAGCAGATTGTATACAATAGCAGCGAATATTGGCCCTGGCGGACGGGCAGGATTTTGGTGTACATCGGCACCAACAAGATCCGCAGTCTTTACCCCATGTATACCCATCCTTCTCGTTTGTACACACGGGTCAGACCTAGCCCAACAGTTTCGGGGTTTGTTTATGTACCTCTTTCTTGTTCGGGATGCAACCTGAAAGGCATGGCGTTACATCACATGTTCGCGTCCGACAAGTACAGCCCATCTCATGGCGTCGTTCATTGGCGCACAGGACGAGCGAGCGCTTCGAAACTGCTGTTACAGGTTAGTTGGGCCGAATCACCAAAGCCAAAGTAATCAGCGCTGACTAGTACTGCTGTGGCCTACATGAACGGGACAACCCCTCTTCCCCCAAGACTACTGACTGCTGTAGGTTTCAGTACGTATGGTTCTTTTCGCTGCTTTTGCTCAACGGAATGCTTTTGCTTAACGGAAGATGTATAGAGTATTGTAGAGCTGGCTGGCAGTACCTTACCACATGTACCGACGATGAGTGACTGACTACCCGTGGCGCGGGCATTGACGAGTTCGTGGGCAATGGAAAGTAGAGCAAGGACAGGCGGATGGGAGTTCTTCCGTCCTGGCTGGGCGCTTGACGAGTTTAATCCTCCGCTGTAATCCTTGGTGGATCGCTGACAGCAGGTGGCGCTCAAACAAAGGCTGCTGCTGGTTGAGGGCCTTCAAGCGGCAGGTAAGTCAAAAACTCATGAAAGCAGTAGCAGTCTTGTACCTTTGCGAGGATGGACGACGTACATCATAGGTGTGGACGATACGAGCAGCTCTGTACGCAAGTGAGAGGCCCCGCAATGTCTACAAGCTGTCCTGGCGTCGGGCCACAACGACAAGCCACATACATATGTATACCAGGAGTGTGCTCTGCTGCCCCTTCTGTACTTGCGTTCTATTGGACAGAGCAGTCCATAGGTCTATGCCTTTTTCAACTTCAACATTCACACCTTTCCCCGCCGCCAGCAAGTCTCAAAACGAACCCGGATGCTGGCCCCATGAGCCAAATGGCGAGAGTGGCATGGGCATAGAGGAGGAGAACGAATTTCGAACGGCGTCGTGGTGTAGGCGTGTGTGCGTGGTTCCGTTGACTTCGATAGACCGTGTGCTCCAATTTCCAAATCTCGGGGCTTGCTGTGCCCATATCGTAGCGGGCGGGCGGGCGGAGCACACGTTTTACTGTCGCGGAGGCTATGTTGCGAGAGGGTTAGTGATTCTCGTCGACGTTCCTGCAGGAGTCTCTCCTTCAGCTCACCTCTTCGTGTCTGTCCTAGGAGAAGCTGACGTCGAAGTTGTTGTTGAACAGAGAGGAGGCGTTCCGTTTGGTTTCCAAGGGCACACACACGTGGCTCTGACGACATGCCTGTCACCGCCACGGAAAGATCCGGAAAAACACGCCAAATCGAAAATCGAAACAGGATGCAATTGCGCCGCATTGTTCTGACACCGATTCTCTGACCCCACTCCATCAGGCATTTCACCCCCGCTGCAACCCACTCAGCAGCCGCCTGCGTAGCCATGGCGAAGACGGGAATCAATGTTCGAGGTGTAGTTTCTGTTACCCTATTGCTTGTGCGATGTCATGGCTTCTGTGCTCCCAGTCTGAGGTACGTAACGTACACAGAAAGCTTGGTTGATGCAGCGCTTTCATCAGACACACTCTCCGTTGCGGTTAGCGTAGCTTCGGTAAGGGAAGAGTGCTGGTGCGTTTCGCCCCGAGAGGTTGCCTGCCTGGCATGAGATGGTTTAGTTTTTTTTGCCGTCTTCGTACTCTCTGTACCCAGTCCTATTTTCTGGTGTGATCATGCTGTGCCTGCAGACTGCTGTTGTTGCGGTGTGCCCCGAGTTCCGAGGTAAAAGTGTTGTCACCCGCGTCTGGTTGAACCGAACGCTGTCTGCGTTTGCTCTGCAACCACCCTCTTCCTGACTAGGCTATGAACATCTCCTGCGTCTCTACGAGCTCGTGTTTCCCAAACCACAGCTCCCCGGCTCCGGTGATGTTGACTGGAAAGCACTATGTCGTGTTCTCACAGCGGCAGGTACAGCAGTACATTGGCTACAATGTATAATATCCTTGGACCGCACTGTTGCTTCCGTCTGCATCTCAGGACATCAACAGCACTCAATAGAGTCCACCCCCCGACAGCAGTAGCCACGACATCACCAACTCGGCACCATCTGCCAGCGTATGATAGCCCACTGTCTGCCACTACGGTTGCCGCACGACGAGAGTCGTCGCGCTCGCGATCAAGGGTGGCTCTAGCTGGGACCACGGTGGAGCCTGTGCCCACTGGGTGTCCTCCTCCTGCTTCCGAGGCCGATGCCGGAGGTGAGATGGAGATGCACCCCCGTTCTCCCCTCCTGCTGGGTTCCTGAGCGATCCCACGAGCTTTCGCTGGACGCCATGCTGTCTGCAGCAAGACTCATGGATGAATGAAGCAAGCAAGCCTCGAGCGTAGCAAAGTTTGCGTCCGAAGTGTTTCGATGCCTTACGCGGAATGAGGCAATCGTTTTGCGGTCACCCGGACTGGCGGCGGTAACCGGTGTGTGGAAGACTAGGTATTGGGTGTAGTTCCCTCTGTATTGGTGTTTTTTAAATACAGACGAGGATACCTTAAAGTTTTTCCCGAGATCATGGCATGTTTTTTCCGCTTGTGAAGGATCCCGGCAGTGTGTACACTTTATGGAGGTGGAACCCTTATACGCCGGAGGAAGACAGCTTGATACGCCGGAAGGAGGCAGCGACGAATGTATCTGAAAGCAGTCCGTAACATTCGTTCTCTCTTTTTCTTGCCTAAAACCCAACATGCCCATGTCTATCTGTGGATGAACGTCTAGGACGTCTATCGATTCTGGCGCAGTTATGCCGCCGTGGGCCGTTCGGCCACTAGGCACCAAGTGACCCACCTCATTTCAAGTCTACAGCATCGGGTGGGTGTGCTCCATCTTCATGACGAAGTGTTCTTTCTATGACTAGGTTGTGGGATGCTGCAATACGAACAACTCGGTGATCCGGTTCGGAAAGCCAGGTAAAACCACGGCCATCACGTAGCGTAGCGCTGATGATAAACCCATTTTTACCTTGATCGCCATCGTGACCCACGCTAGATATACCGCTGTAGGTGGGTAGACTAGACGGATGACCCCCCCCCCCCCCCCCCCCCCCCCCCCCCCCCCCCCCCCCCCCCCCCCCCCCCCC